ATTTTATTTTATTCTCACTAAAAAATTTGCTCAATAGTGAACTAGGAAACTGATGTGATATCGCTTATATACTGTGTACTGAGAGTTAAGTATATTGGAGAAGTCACACTTGAATACGTCTCTGCAAAATTTTTTTTCATCTGTATTCTTCTGCATGGTTTTAAGATGTTTACAATAAAAAATGTCTCTCTTTCGTTGCATTCTTGTTTTATTTCTGATAATTTCAAATATATACAATTAATTCTCATTTTGTAGTTAATTGCGTTCAAGTGTGTTTGAAACGTATTTTGTGGAGTTTTGAACAAATATGGAAGCAAGACGTCATTTATCACAACCTGATGCCAACAGGACTATTCGTACCCTTTACGCTTTTCAAGTATGATGCATTTTACGTGCGGCACATGGGGTTACAGTAAGTATCCAGTCAGCACGCAATAGATTCAGGGAATTTGGCCTGTCAAATCATTTTTCATATCGAGCCCGTCAGTTAAGTCTAGCATGCAGTCCATTTAAGATGGCTAAAGAATCTTCAAAACTGGGATATGGGGTCAGTTTTATTCATCGATGAGTCTCGTGTCGGCTTGTACAGCAATAGCAGACGTCTACGAAGAAAAATAAAATTCTGTACTGTCTTCTAATCCTTGAAAACGTCGCCATTGTGTTTGTTAGCGCTAAGCTTACCGCAATATTATATATCCAAGTGGTCATTCAGTAATAGTGTGCTCTGATTGACACATGTATATTCTGAATCTCACGTCAAAATAACCACGAGCCTTGTTCGGTGTGGTGGTTATTATTTATCTTTGTGATGTATTTGTTTACGCTTTTAATATATAAAAGCCAACATCGGAAGTGGGATCAGAATTCAAGCGCTACGTTGGGCTCTATTAGTATTTTTACCGATTTAACAAAAAAATGTTGTGATGTCAGATACAGATTTACAAAATGGCCGACAACAGTAAACATAGTAAGCTTGCTACCCAACAAAGTGTAGCAACTGCTATAACGGCTATATTTAATGAACTTTCAAGTGCGACCGCAACTAAAAGTGACAGAATTTAGGTGCATCACCGGTATCGTTTGATCCTGAAATGGATGGCACAAGAGAATGGTGTAATAATGTGGGAAAAGTTATGAATCAGCAAAAATGGGACGAATATAAAATTGTCACAATGCTACCTAACATACTAAAAGGTGAAGCTAAAAATTGCTTTAGAGGTTGGAGGAGTGACGACAGAAAGTGAAAGTGAAATTTCAAAAAAGATTTTAAGGCTGCATTTCCAAGTAAGGTAGAACTTGGTTATCTCCTTAAGAGAGCTGTTAATTTAAATTGTAATGAGTTCATTAGTTATTCCGAATACTGTAGAAGGAAAGCTCAATATTTTGGTCTGTTAAAACTATTTTTGTAAACTTTGATGAGATAGTAATTTCTTCTTTGTGAAGGCATTTCGGACTTTAATGTCAGAATTCAGTTAACTGATTTACATCATAGTACATTAGTTGAATTTATGAACGCTTTATCTTGTATTTGTAAAGTGAAAACTGGAAGTAATGCCAGCTGTTCTACCAGTCGTGTTAAAAGTAAGAACAATTATATTGGAAATAATAACATAAATATCAAATATAATTCAAACGATAGACGTTTTTTTTTCTCGTTGTTACAACTATGGTGACAGAAATCATAAAAAACGTCTGTTCTAAACTGCATACATCTGATTATAACCAATGGTGGACCTGCCGAAATGTGACAAAAATACAAATATGCGAATATTGTAAAAACCAGAACATAGTGAGGAAACTTGTTTTGCAAAAATTAGAATAAGTAATAAAAATGAAAAGGTGATTAATATATGCCGTATCTAGTGATCACTGGAAATTAATAAATTAAAGACAGAATATAATATGAAATGATCAATTAAAAACTAATTCGTCACCATTGTTAAAATTATTTTGAGTATGAAGTACACTATTTCTATTCATTACTACATTCATCGTTCTTAGTGTTAAAATCAGGACAGTTCTTAAATTACCCACTTCAAATTAGATCACAACCTTAGATGAATTTCATATTTATATTCTGGTTTACTTAAATTACTTCAAATTAGTTTACAACCTCAGGTAAATCTCATATTTATACCCTATTTTTGCATTGTAAAAAGTTAGTATAATACTCACATCTGACGAAACCACTGTGTTGGCGAAACGACTGTTATGTAAAATAAATTCAAAATAAATTTCGTGAAAATCAAAAAACAATACAAAGTTTTATTATGTTGCGTATAACATGGATTTTAATCAAGTAATGGTCGACTCAATCAACTAATTAGAAAATACATATGTTGCAATTGTGGGTGGAATGATTATTGATGTAATGATTGACACGGGTGCAGATGTATCCCTAGTGTCCAATAAGAAAAAAATTGTGTGTACAACCAGAATGAAAGTATTTGGAATTGAAAGGTATAGATGGCACTGTACACTCGAATGAAAAAGTGATACTGACAGTAGAATTACTTAATTTAACATTTGAAGTGGAATTTCACGTGATAAATAGTAATTTCACAACTGATATGATAATCGGACTTGATATTTTAAACAGGCTCGCCATGCACTATCTCGGGATGGTTTTACATTAACTAATGATATAAGTGTAATGTCAATAACAAGTGTAAATGTTTTTGACAACTTGAAAGTATCCAATGAACACAGGGACAAACTGTTGTATGTCTTGACAGAATTAAAGGACATATTTGCTTTTGGAAATTCTAAGTTAACTGTGTGTACAGGCAAATTAAATATTAAATTATCTAATGATACACCCGTGAGATATCAGCCTTATCTATGCCATTTGCTGAGTGAACGTGAGTTAGAGACATCGTAGATGATTTGAAAGACATCGAAAAACATCATTGGAGACTCTTTTTCTACATTTGGAAGTCCTATTTTACTTGTTCGTAACAAAGATGGCAGTGATCGAATGTGTGTCGACTATCGTGAATTGAATAGACAAACCATTAAAGATGAATATCCTTTACCTCGTATAGATGACCAAATTGATCAGTTAGGCGGCTTTAAATAGTTCACTTCATTTGATATGGTTAGTGGTTTTCATCAAATATCGATTTCCGAGGATTCTGTGGAGAAAACTGCATATGTAACACCAGACGGTCATTATGAGTATCTGAAAATGCCTTCTGGTTGAGCTAACACTCCATCTGTTTTTCAGAGAACTAGATATTAGCTTTGCATTACAAACTATGATAAATACTAGAAAGTTATTTATTTATTTGGATAACATATTAATATCATCTAAAACTATAAATGATGATCAGCTGGCAATATTTTGATGTTGATGAACTGGTATTATGTTCGTGAAAATGATCAAATAGTAATATGCGTTGATGTTGATAAACAGCTAGTACTAATGTTTATAATGATGATAGGTATCATTGGTAATATAATTATAATTAAAGTGATATTAAGAGCCTTGAGTATGGTTTGAACATGTATCTACTGAGTAATTTTAAACAATTTTGTAAATGGTAGATGCCCTTTTTCTTTCTGTGACATCTGTGATTGTGTCTGTGACGGGTATCTGTCCTAGCGGCGTGTGTCAGTCAGTCTGTGATCTGGTTGATCTGTGACGGTGACTGTGCTAGCAAGAGTGTTCTCCCTGTTCCATTCCAGTAGCTGTGTTAGCGGTGTAACTTAGAATGCTGATGCTTGGGTTTAGTGCCATCTGGCGGATATCACACTTATATATGTTAGGGTGTTAATGCTTGGGCCTAGTGTCTTCTTTTGGATATCACACTTGGATAAGTTAGAGTGTTGATGTTTGGGCTTCGTGCCTTCTGGCGGATATCACACTTGTATACGTTAGAATGTTGAGATTTGGGCCTAATGCTTTCTGGCGGATATCACACTTGTATACGTCAGAGTGTTGATGCTTGGGCCTAGTGCTTTCTGGTGGATATCACACTTGAATATGTTAGAGTGTTGTTGCTTGGCCCTAGTGCTTGCTGGCGGATATCACATTAAATGTCTATAATCATACTTTGATCAAGATTTATAATATTTTGCTTGTCGGGAGCTGGAATCCCCTTCGCATCCTGTCCTTGGAACTCACATGGTAGTTAGGAAGAAACCGAGTCCTAATATTGGGCTGAGAACGTTCCAATGTCAGGCTGGCCATGTTAGCGCCAAGCATACCACAATATTACATGTCCACGTGGTAACTCAGTAATAGTGTGCTCTGATTGACATACGTATATTATGAATCGCACGTCAGAATAACCACTAGCCTTGTTCTGTGTTGTCGTTTTTATTTATCTTTATGTTACGTATTTTTTTACGCTTTTAATATATAAAAGTCAACAATGTTCATGAACATAAGGGTCAAGTTTCAGTGTTACATATAGGGAAACAGTGTGTCATGACTCTTTTTACGTATAATTATGTGACGTCACACTAATATGGTTCTTTGTACACCGCAGAAACCCCATAAGTACGAGCACCCATCCTTGCAGGCTATAACTGGGGCACGAATTTCAGAGGAGGCGATTGTCGATGGCTGGGTTGATAAACAGAAGATCGATGATACGCGCGCAAGAATTGAATGGGCAACATCATTAAAAGTGGGAAATCGAATGGTACATCATACTTCTCACTAATGAGTCTAGATTCGGCTTATATGATTCTAGAAGATGCGTATGGAAAGCAGAAATACCACACGACACATAGGGCATGTCTAAGTGGTACATCTTTGCCGAGGTGGGAGGCTAGTATTGTACGGGGGAGATGAAGACCACTGTACGTATGTTTCTTAACGTGTTTTCTTAACCGCCTCTCAAGTCACCGAAGTAACTACCAGAAAATCTTAAGATTCTGTGTTAAGTAAAGAGAGAAGAGGCCCTACAGTTTATTGTGGAATTCGAACCAGATCTAGAGCATCGACAGTTCTCTTCCATCTTAATCCGAAATAAATTACAAATAAAATTATTTGCTCCGAGATGGATTCGAACCATCGATATTCGGTACCGAGTTAATAGCTATAAGCGCTTTACCAACTCGGCTACCACATGCCCCATGTGAGTAGATATAAATCAACAGATCTACCTAAATGACAAGATCATTCCAATAATTATGCCCTTAGCTAATGTAATCGGGGAGAATTTTAGACTTTATGATGACAATGTGACACCACATCAAAACACGAAATGGTAGATCATGAAATTGCCCTCTTCGGGCTGCAGCAGTATTCCTAGATATTAACCCCATCGAGCACGCCTGGATATGCCTCAAAGGACACTGGATGATCATCAGCTAGAAACATAGAACATAAATGACCATAGGGACACTTTGCTAGTTTTGGCAGCAAATATTGGTCAGACTCGCTACTAAGTAAAAATTCTATGTCTGCTATGTAGATTTAATATATTTGTTAATGGTGTACCATCAAGTTTTTAATTTTAATTTTATGAACTAATAAACTAAACGTTAAGTTTCACTTGAATAATAATTATATTGATCATTAAAAATTTTAAATAACATTGCCAGTGTCGTGGCTACGGTGATTGAGCTATAAATTTATTCCGATTTTCACTATGAAGAAGTTTTTCAGATTTTGACCCATTTTATTAGGAACAATTATATTCTAACCAAAAAGATCCTCGTATATCTTGAAAAGAATCACCAAGTTCGAAAAATAAGGGAATAAAGGATAACAAATATGGATTTGAAATAACTTATTTTTGAAACAACATGAAAAAGAAATAATCACAAAAACTGCACTAAATAATAAATTGTGTCACATTACCATGAAATCGTTACATTGTTATATAATTTCTCGAAATTTTTCGAGTCAGTGTCAAGTTTGTGTAAGTCTGAAGACTGAAAAATCTTGCTCGATTTTGAGATTGTAACGGAATGAGGACTACCGCGCTTGAATTCACCACGAGAGACGCTAGTGTAGGGTAAAGTACATGTCACTGAACGTTAATAAATTATGACTTTTTAACGAGGGTTTTTAGTAATTTAGTAATTTTTATAAAAATTAGCTGAAAAACATTTAACACAATGATATCAGCAGGGGAAGTAGTAATTTACTTACTCAGTGAGGAAATTATTGTACCTATCAGAGCTGTCTTACGCCATTAAAGTTAGGTTATATCAAACATGAGCATGATGAAAACAATGAATGTGCATGATTACTATTTACGATTTTCTGTAGTAGGCTCCTTGGGTAACGCATAATCGTCAGGATTAAAATGTTTCTTACAAAGACGCGAATATTACGAAGGAGTAAAGTTATCCTTGCGAATCGCTATCAACCACTGTTTTAAGCGACTTTTGTCTGTCGGAAACATATGTCCGCCTTTCTTTTCTGAAAAGAATGGAACTGAACAACACTGAGGCATAATTAACAAGTTATTTTATTTACTGGTGTACGAAATAATTATATTAAAACCCTATACACTTGTTTCGCACCTAACAATAACACTTGACAGCTACCTTACTCACCAGTGGCGCCAACTGGTGAACCAGAAAACGGTAGGCCTCATTGAAACCCTTTTTCATCATGAACAATTATACGAATGCAGAAATGAGCGATTTGAACTTCATATATGGACTTGCCAATGGGAGCTTATTAAAAGCTAGATGTGTCTGGTGAAATGTACCAACAGCGTCGGCCTCCTCGCCAGCGGACGATTGCAAATAATCATCATCTTCTAAACGAGGCCGATATATTTACTGGAAATAAAGTAGTCATATCAATAGTTAATTCAAAAATATTAGCTGATAATCCACAGTGTTATCTCAAGTTTTTGCATTCACGAGGCCAACTTTTCGAGAAATGCTATTATGAATTTTCATAATATTATACAGGGTGGAGCAATAGTGCGCCCGACTTCCATATCTCGAGTTCTATGACATCTAGAAACTTGATTTAAAAACATAAGTAAACTAGACAAAAAGCCTATAACCGGAAATTGTTTTTGAATATACAGCCATGATGATTCTACAGGGTCAAGTAACGTTTTTCTAAATGAAATGACATTTATATCAGAACATTTTTTGAAACCTCTTTTTGGCCTCCTTCCACTTCTGTATTATTACTGACTTTCTCCCTACCACTTTAATGTAATGTTCTTTTTTTGTTGAAATTATACCATTTACACGTGTATATTAAAAGAACCGCTGCCAATTACTTGGGGACCAGAACTTCCTCACCGTAGTAAAACTCGACGTGTGGTGGAGTTTATAATAAAACTAATTTTTGACGTTTCAAAAAAGTCACATTTCTTGACGTTTCAAAAGTCACATTTTGACGTTTCAAAAAAGTCGCATTAGTGGAATGTCACCAATATTTTTTTTAGACATTGGGACCGATTTTGCTCATCAACGAACTCAATCTCTTCCTTGACCTCTAGAATGTGTGTACCAAATTTTAAAGCTTTATCTCAAAAACTGTAGCCGCTATTGCGAACCACACAGATGGACATATACACACACAGACAAAAAAATTGTTCTGTCTAAAATTTTATGTATCGTCATAATTCGTCGAGATTCGTCCAGAAATGCAATAAAAATTTTAAAAATTTTTTCACGTATACATAACCCCACTGAGAGGTGAAAAGTAATATTATTACAATCACAGCTATCGATTTTAAAAGATATATGTTAATACCAGTTATGAGACATTTGTATGGTGACACTTAGCCATTTTCACTTCCTAAAAGTATTCCAAGAGAAATTTTTAAATTTACAACTATTTGAACTGAATTATCTCATTTTTTTTTCAAATGGAACACCACCGAACATTTTTTGTACGTATAATGGCTATTTATGACCATTTTCAATTTATTGAACAATATCTGCAAAATTCAGTAATAAAAATTAAAAATGAGGTTTCTTTTTCAAATAATTCAAGAGAAAGTATTATAATAAGCGTATTACATGATACCCATAAAAGCATCACAACTATACAACAATCCAAAATTTGAAGGAAAGGATAATAAATGGTTTTAGAAGTATCAGTCTAGCAATTTTATGAACAATAGAAAGCTCATTTCAAAGATGCATAGAAATGTGTGTCAATCAAAATGAGTAACATGTGGAGCACTTTTTATAATATCATCTCTTGAATTACAAAAAAAAATCATTTTTTATTGCTGAACTTTGCAGGTATTGTTCAATAAATCGAAAATTATTACAAATAGCCATCGGAATGTACGTACAAAAAAATTTTCGTTTTTCAATTCTACATGACATCGTCCAAAAATATACAGGGTGTTCCATTTGAAAAAATTGAGAAAATTCAATTCAAATAGTTGCAAATTTAAAAATTATTTTTTTGCCACCCTGTATACTTTTAGGAAGTGAACATGGTTGAGTGTCATCACACAGATATCTCATAACTGGTACTAATATATTTTTTATTAAAATTAATAATTGTGACTGTAGTGATTTTTTTAATATACACGTGTAAATGGCATAATTTCAACAAATAAAATCATTCCATCCAAGTAGTTGGGAGAGAGTCAATAATAATACAGAAATGGTAGGAGGCCACAAAGAGGTTACAAAAAATGTTCTGATATACATGGCATTCCATTTAAAAAAAAAATGATAGTTGACCTCGTAGAATCGTCTTGGCTCACCATGTATATTCGAACATAATTTCCGGTTATAGACTTTTTTGTTTAGTTTATTTATATTTTTAAATCAAGTTTCTAGTTATCAGAGAACACGACATATCGGAGTCGGACGCACTATTGCCCCACTCCGGACATGGGCTGAAGAAAACCCACATGAAAGGGTGGATACAATTTTCTGTGGCTTTCTCATTGAATCATACTTTTTATCTGCACAACTTATTGACGAATCAAACCGTGCGTAAAGTTTTTCTTAAAGAGGATATACTTGGGTTAAGACATGTACTAATGTAATAAATAATGTTATATGATTTATGCAGCACACTTTAGCATCATTACGTATCAATTTCCAAATATGGCATATTATGATCGCTACAGTGGTCGACCGCAGTGATGGCCTCCTCAGTCATCAGATTTTAATCTACTGATTTTTTTTGCTTGGGAAATTTTAACTCGTCTGCATACAAGTAGAGGGACAGATTCATATATTATGACTGGCAAAGGTTATTTCCAGCAGTTTATGTGAATATTCCTTTTTTATGCTGTTGAGTCAAAAACAAACCAATTGGAAATCGATTCTTATCCATTTTTTCTTGCATTCCTCGAACTCTATGCATTTTATCAAGATTCAAAAAGAGGACCTTTTTTTTGTTAGAATGTATAATATGAGCTCGAATTCTGAAATCAGCACACTGTCATGAAAATTTCGATATTAATTTGCAGCTCATCCCCCATATCCACGTCGCTGGTAATGCTATTTAAAATTTTTAATGATCAAAGTAATTTTCATTAAAAAATTAATTGTATCGAATTATTTCCATGTGGAGTCAATATTCCAAAAATTGTTTTTTTCATGGAGAAATCACTTGAATCACCTGAATTATTGATATGTACTTAGAAAATATCCTGTACAATAAAAGAGATTAATTTAAAATTTCTAATCATCTTAAACAATTTTTAGGATATTTAAAAGTAGCCATTTGTATCAAAGATGATGAAGTTTAATCATGAAAGAGATGAAATGACACTTTTCTCCCATGTTGTACATGATTTTTTTCTACGACCTCTAATAAAAATATCTGATGTGGCCAGCACATAACTTTCTTATACCAGTATATATCATCCTGATCTAAAAAATTCATTCTGTTTAATTCTTCACTTACCTTAATTAAATTTTAAAACGTACCTTGAAATGTTTCATTAAAATTTTTTAATAATTAATTATCAGCGTCCTTCGATACTGTCAATAATAATTCATGTCATATATTTTATTAATTTCTTCTTATTGACATTGACATTTTTATAACCAAATTAGATATTTCAAATATCAAACTGTTAAATTTATCCTAACCCCATTTTATGAGGTCAAATGTATAAAAAATTTAAGTTCACATCAGCTTTATTTAAGTAATTGGAAAATATATTTTA